GGAGAGGAGAGAGAGGAGAGGAACGAAGGAGGAGAGAGAGGAGAGGAACGAAAGAGAGGAGAGAGAGGAGAGGAGGAGGGAGAGGAGAGAGAGGAGAGGAACGAAGGGGAGGAGAGAGAGGAGAGAGAGGTTTAATGTTTAATTGAAAGTGTTTGACTGGATTCAGTCAGGAGGATCTGCCCAGAAAAGTGTGAGTTCTGGTCTGAAAACTCTGTCTCTCTCCCTCACTCTCTCTGTCTCCCTCTCTCACATCTCGTCCATTGTGTTTCAATAATGCAGTTCATGCTCCGTGCTGTCGTCCTCCTCTGCAGCTGAGTGAGCTGTAGTTCCCCTCCCTCCCAGCAGGCTGCTGTCACGTCCTCCTCTCTCGGGGCTTTGACTCGTCCACGTCTGTCTTTCTGTGTGAAATTGACACAAGTAACGGCTGTCATGAACTCGACAAATCAATTCCCTCCAGTGTCTCACTCTGGCAGAACTCCACAGAAGACTCCAGCCTGCCCCCCGCTGTTGGGAGGGGGGATTTATATATTATTCATCACACTCCGTTCCCCTTGAACAGAACTGGGAGTCCCTTCATCTGGCTGCAGCTACGAACTAAACACACACACGACTGGGACTCTGAGTCACGGAGTCCAGTCCTCGGTCAGTACTGCTGAGCGTCTGTGGCTCAGTGGTGAAAGAGTTGGCTTGTCGTCAGAGGTTCAGGTTCAAATCCCAGTTTGGTCGACTGTGGTGCAGTGGCTCAAACATAAACCTCTTTCTTCGTCTATGTTAGCTTGAAGCTAAACCTTCTGATGCTTGACGTCTATACGTCTTGTGTCTGTAGGTGATCAAGGCCATAGAGGAGAGCTACAGACTGCCTGGTCCCATGGACTGCCCCGAGGCTCTTTACCACCTCATGATGGACTGTTGGCAGAGAGATCGCAGCAGTCGACCCAAGTTTGACCAGATCGTCTGTCTGCTGGACAAACTCATCCGTAATCCCAGCTCCTTAAAAGACCTGGTCAATTCTTCACACAGGTGAGACGTCGCCTCACAACACACACACACACACACACACACACACACACTCTTATACATACATGCACGTTTTTATACACACGTGGGGTTACTGTTTTATGCAGTACTTTTTTTTTTGGTTTTATTTTTTACATTTCACTTCTGTGTGGACATTAAACCAAATGTCATCTAACATGTACTAGTACTACACAGTACTACAGTACTACGCCGTACTACAGGACTACACAGTACTACACAGTACTACGCAGTACTACAGTACTACGCCGTACTACAGGACTACACAGTACTACACAGTACTAGAGTACTACACAGTACTAGAGTACTACACAGTACTACACAGTACTACAGTACTACAGTGCTACACAGTACTACACAGTACTAGAGTACTACACAGTACTAGAGTACTACACAGTACTACCCAGTACTACACAGTACTAGAGTACTACACAGTACTAGAGTACTACACAGTACTACGCAGTACTACACAGTGACAGAAGTACATACCAACTGACCAAAGTACAGACTGAAATAAAGTCTGATCTAAAGCTTTAATCATCAGTTGTTTCTGTTTCCCATCATGCACCAGGGTTTCCAACCTCCTGGTGGAACATGCCACCGTCCAGGGGGAGTGCAGCTCTGTGAGCAGCACGGTGGCAGAGTGGCTGGACTCCATCAAGATGGGTCGCTACACCGAGCTCTTCATGGAAGGAGGTTACTCCTCATTGGACACCGTGGCTCACATGACGTCAGAGTAAGTCCACCTGGAGCTGGGCTGTGGGCGGGGCCGTCCGCGGGGTGGACCAGTGGAACGTGGACCAGTGGAACGTGGACCAGTGGAACGTGGACCAGTGGAACGTGGACCCGGTTCTTTCACATTTGTTGTCGTTTTCTTCTGTTTTCAGGGATTTGCGTAAAGTTGGCGTCAGTTTGGCCGGACATCAGAAGAAAATCATCACGAGCGTCCAGGAGATGAGGGTGAAGATGAACACCACCTCTACTGTCAACATGTGACATGTACACACACACACTCACACACACTCACACACACACACTCACTCACTGACTCACTGTCCGGGCCGAGGACGTCAGGACCAGACTCAGATCTGCTGTTGGACCTGGAGCAGCTCAGCACTTTCTACAGACACCAGTACTGACCATGACCTCCAGGTCAGTGTGTGGAGCGAGGGCGTGGCGTCACCGGGGGTTTCTGACGGTGACCGGCTGAAACCAGACGGTGCTACAGAAGGTGAAGAGATCTGATCTCCAACATCGGTTGTAGACGAGGCCCAGAGAAGAACCAAGAACCGAGACCTCGAAATCTGGATCCTGGATGTTGACGCTCTGCGTTGAGGAGACACAGAGACACGTCTCAGTCGCTCTCAGGTTTTCTGAGCCCAAATCATTTTCTGGGAGAGTGATGTTCCATCAGACACAATTCAATTGAACTTTCTCTTAAAACGGATCAAAAACGAATTCTTCTTCAGTTTCTTTGGTTTTGGTCTCACTCAGGTATTTTTGCCCAGACTTAATTCTACAGATCTACTGCTCGATGAGGCTGAAGGATCAGCTGCAGCCGACGCAGATACGTCTCAAGGTTAAGACTGGAGGTTGAAGGATACTCTGTGTTTCCTGAATGTACACGTTAATGTTAGCTAGAATGTGAAACAGAACCGTCCTGGTCCTTAAATCCAGCTTCTGATGAAGCTGCAGGTTGTACAAGAGATTATGTCAGTGTTCCGTGAGACTGTCCTCAAAAAAACTCTCCCCCGAGCCACGAGAACACCCCCCCCTCTTCCCCCCAGCGACGTCTAGGAGACATCAGGCAAACACGCTGCGACTCCTGGAAGCGACGCCACAAAGATTCACAGATTTGTTGATCCACCTCCAGGACTGGGACTCTGAAACATCAGACGAATCATTAAATTAAGAACAAACGTTGAGAGGAATTAAGTCAAAGGTGACGGTCAAATGATCATCATGGAACCCTAATGTTGAACCACCAATCTGAAGGTACCACAGAACTCCTCCCCCTCCCCCCCCGCCCCCCCCGCCCCGCCCCGCTCGCTGCGCACCTCCCCGATGCGTCACACTTTGTCTTCCTGGACGCAAACGTCACGGCACCGTCGACCTCACTCTGACTGGACTGCTGAGAAAAAAAAAGGCAATATTGTTCAACTTGATAATCATTTATTTATTTATACTTGTTTATAGCTGTGAGCAAAAATATGAGCGAGGGTTAGGGTTCGATCCCTGGAGATTCTCCCCTCGGACTCCTGAACAACTCCGTCTTCGTGTATATATTGTACGATATATTTAAAGCAGGGACCATCCTTCTTCTAGTTGTTGATGTTTGAGCAACTCAGAGAAGTACACAGTAGTAAATAGTTGCAGAAACTCCGACAGTCAGGGAGGACGAACCAGCAAATCTGTCTTCGACTGAGAGGGTCTGATTGGACTCTTTTTTTAAAAAAGGTCCTCGAGCATCGGAAGAAAATGACAACTGCAAACACTGGCATTAAATGAAGGGCATTAGCACAAGGCTATTATTAGAAGCTACTATTAGCAACTGTCAGTTTTCGTTAGCTTAAAAATGGCCTGTCGCTGAACCAGAAATGTCAATCCTGGTAAAACATTTGTCACTACTTTGTCGAGTAGGAACGTGTTTCAGGTTAGCATAAGACGCCAACGTCCAAACCCAGCAGGAAGTTGGTTTTCCTGAATGTTATCTTTAGTCTTCTCATCCAATAAGAATTCCAAACAAACATTTTTTATTTCACGTCAGTAAAGTCTCGCACTCTCAGTAAATTTTGATTGACATATTGTTTCGTTGACACGGTCAATTCCACTGGTTCTAGCGTCACCTGGTACTGTTTCTTCTCCGTGTTCTTACAGATCGCCACATTCATGATCGCATGTTTGTCCTTTTGTCTTGTTAGCAATAGCATCAAGCGCCTGTATACTTCAGATGGTGTTGAGCCTAGCCTTTGCTGCTAGCAGGGGTTCCTCGTATTACGTTGCTGATGATTGTTTCAGGTGTCGGACCTGAAAGAGTCCGACCTGCTGGACTAAAGTCGACTAATGTTCTGACAAAGGGATTGACACGACGACGCGGTTCAGTTATTAGTTCTACGATGATGATGTCAGAGATCACGCCCTTACTTTTCTGGGTTTTGCTGCTTGTATTTACTCTTGTATTCGTGTAAATCAGGAACTCGGACAGTGACGTGTCCCTCTTTGCAGACGACACGCTGATATTTTCTCAGTTTTACACAGTGGACAGTTCGTACACTGCAACTGAAACCAAGTGAAAGTTAGTTTTGTAAGAGTTGACGCCACCTGGCTGTACAGACGAGCACACACGCAGAATGTAAGGCTTTGTTAAAGGAATATTTTACGTTTTTCTGAACAGAACGACCAACTCAAAAAGAAAATATTGACGTCAATAACAGATGAATGCATTAGCAACAACAACTGCAACAGCAGCAAAAAGAAAATATTGACGTCAAAAACAGATGAATGCATTAGCAACAACAACAACAACAACAACATGTTTGAAGTGTTAATATAATATTATCATTTTTGAATTGGCTCAAAGTTGAACTTCTTATACATTTACTCTTTTGTTTGTCTTGATCATTGTTGCTGCTCAGACGTGGCACGGTGCGTCTTTTAAGTGAAAATAATTTCATCGGGGGCGGGGTTTAAATTTACCACCTTGCATGTTTGAACTCTTTGTTGTCAAAAAAAAATGCATTTGCAAGTGCATGATTTCAAATGTTTCAAAAGGAACTGAAAATATCAGTGAAGAACAACAACAACAATTGGTGAAGAATAAAAAGTGCCTCTTTTTTTTTTCTGCCCTGATGAAGAAATGCGTTGATCAGCTGATCCCACACGCCCCACGTATTTATACTCAACCTTTGCCAACCAGAATTCCAGGCAATAAAAAGAATGTCAGGAGATTTAGAACTCAGTTTAATTTGCACTTTATTATAGAAAAAAAAAAAAACTTTTTGCCATTTGTCGACTAAAATGTGTAAAAGTCAGACTTCTGTTAAAACGAACTTAAAACTTAACACTTGTATTACTGCTGTTATTACTGCTGTTATTACTCTGTTACCAATGTTTCCTACAGGTCTGGTATTGAAAGCACAAGGAACGGTGAAAAAAAAAAAAAAAAGTTGATTTTACAAGATGGCACAGATATTTAACCTGAGAGAAGAAGAGCAGAATATTTAGTTTTTGGGTTTTTTTGTTTTGTTTTTTTTGTTCAGGAGGAAATTGTTTGACGGAGTTTTGAAGATCTGAACTTATTTTCCACTGAACTCTCGAACCAGTGATCAAAAAGTAGGAAATCTTGTGAATGGAATAAAACACAATCATTTTTTGGAGTTAGCCACTGCTGGCCATCAGTGGTACTGCAATCGAAACAGCAGTTCAGATCTTGAATTGTGAAACACACAAATATTTAACATAAAAAAACGTATAACTTTAGCAATGTCTCACTGTTTCACTGTCAGACCTGGGTTTTTCAGATAAAAACGTTAAAAAAAAAACTGCTGCACTAACACTGGGTGTCATCGTTCAAGAAAATGAGCACACGAGGAACTTTCTTCAAGAAGTTTATCTTCGCTGTAACGTTGCACTCGACCTCCGGTGAATATGATGTGACAAAAGCAACGAGGACCAGAGTCCACCTCAGAGCTCTGGGTCCAGGTCTGGGACCAGAACCACAAATGAGCACAAATGGTTTTTACAGCTGGTTCTGACCCGTGGAACAGAACCACAGGAGAACCCGCGTTCTTCACAGATGGTTTCCTCTCGTCATGTGACACGTCTCTGCAGCCGACGCCTCAGGAAGGGGGTAACGGGACGTTTACTGACACCTGCTGTCCAAATGTGCAGCTTTCACTCCAACCGTTACGTTCAAAATCAGATATGTAGTTATTAGACCCCCCCCCNATTACTCCCACGTAAGGTTTGAAAATTACTGAGGAACTGTTTTTGTGGTGGATTGAAAGCACAGTTTAAAGAAGAATCTCTGACCAGTAGGTTGTGCTCTTGAGCCCGTCGTGTATCATGTTTGTGTTGATGTTTTTGTAGTGTGTTATCAAATTCTATATTTTTGCAATAAAACCTTAAGAAAAAAAACCAGCTTGTCTCCATAGTCGTGGTCTGTGGTGTGACCAGGTGGACCATGTTTCAGCAACACCTGGTCCGACCAGACCATCATATCACAGCCGTTCACCTGGTATTCAGCTGGACACAGTCGCACTGACCTGCACCACCGTTCTGGAGTTGGTCTGATCTGATTGGTTCACAACCTTGAACCGGCGTGAACCGAGAGTGTGAGTGTGCGCTGCCCCCGCAGGGCAGACGGCGGCGGCGTGAACCGACTGCTGAGATCATTTACTACTTCAAAGCTAGGGTTAAAAAAAAAAGACAAATGTATGTACACACTGTTAGACACACACACACACACACCTGCTGACACTGGTGCTAATGAGACAACATTAGCATGTTAGCACAGAGGGCAGGTTCTGACCTCTGACCTCTGCCCTCGTCAGTTTGTTGTTGTTGTTCCTTCCATCACTGTAACCAGACTACAGGCTGGGACTGGTACTGCAGGGTTTTATTCTGCCTCTGTTTAACTCCCCTGTTGGATTCTGGGTAATTAGCGATTTTACCCAGAAACCAACTGTAGGAAGATGTTTCGCACATGTTTATTTTGGTAGAAAATAATTGCCACGGTAACAGAGGAGCAGTGGAGCGGCGTTTTTTATCACGGTGAGAAACAAAGGGACGAGAAAAGTCTGAAAAAGTCTGAAAAACTAAAAATGAAGTCGGACTTTGGTTTTGTTTACGTTTACAAACCAACAACAACAAAAAAAGTTTTTCCTGCAAATTCTTCACTTCATTCTGTTGATTTTTTTTTTCTACCACAGCAAATCTGCAAAAACCATTTGGTTAGCTGAAGGAGGTTGTTGGTTCAACTCCTGGTCTGTGTGTCAAACGTTTCAGTCATAATTATTTTGT